GCAACCTCCAACTCCTGGGCTCAAGCGAGTCTCCTGCCTCAGCCTCCCAAGTAGCTGGGACCACAGGCGCCCGCCACAAAGCCCGGCTATTTTTTGGTTGCAGCCATTATTGTTGTTTGGCCGGTCCGGGCTGGGGATTCGAACCCGCCACCTTAGGTGTACATGGCTGATGCCTTAGCCGGTTGAGCTATAGGCACCGAGCCAAGAAGGAGGGTTCTAGAAGAAAATTTCCTATCCTGGGAATAGGACGCCCCAGGTTAGAGTAAAGCAAGTGTGAATAGAGAAAAGTGAGTTGAGCAAGTCCCCTCCTGAATATCTAGTCCCTCTGCTATTAAGAAGGGCAAGACAGGGTCACTGAGGGCCTGGAAAGGGGGTGGGGAAAAAATCTGCTCAGACTTCCCGCTCCAGTGGCCTCGCTCAGGCCTGGGAGGTGAAGTCACTTTTGGCTGAAACCACCATACCCTGTTAAACACCACCAGTTCATAGTGGGATCACAGAGCTAAGGGCTTAGAAAATATCTGAGGAGGCCCTGGCTTTTCCCCACACAGCAAAGGAACCAAAGCTCTGGGGAGGGGACCAATTTGCCCCAGGGCCATAGAACCTTGCCCAAAATGATCTCTAAAATAATGAGCTAGAATCCTGCAGCTTCACTTTCTTTCCTGGCCTCAGCCTTTTCCTGGGACTAACTTTGCACAAAAGTAGCAACTGAAGTTACTGGTATTTTGGATTAGGGATATGCTCCCTGCCTGGCACAATTTGTTATAGTGCGGTCAGATCTTCATATGTAGATCCATTCCTTTTCAGATCTTCATATGTAGATCCATCCTTTTTCATAAGAGAAGGTGGTCTCTTTACAGCCTGATCCCATATGTTCTGTTTCTTAGACTTCCTCTCAGAGGGAGTAGAAAGTGTCCTGAATATGAGAGATACTCAATACATTCCAAATGATGAGATTTTTTAAACTGGGGAGCAAATGCCACATCCTGGGCTCTGTAACTTTCTTCCCGTAGGCACTCTTCAAAATGAACCTGATACTAGAAACAGCACTTAGACAAAATTAGTTTACTTTATGAAGAAGATTATTAAAATATTAGACAATGGTTTGGCATTAGGATTCCCCTCCTACATATGTCTGCGTTTTAATACAGTCTTGGAAGCCTTAACTAAAATGAATAAATATTTTTAGGTACTGTGGAAGGGCCACTGGGGGAAGAGGCAGGACTTACAGCAGTCTTAAAATCACACCACATGGGCAGCTGGACACCCCAGCTGCCTTCTCTATGCAGCCATGAAGTGCTCCCCCACACATGCAGTAACTTTAAAAAGGTTTTGAATCTTCAGCACCCACTTTTTGAAAAACAGTTAAAAATAACAGCAGCTATACCTTCTTCTGTGGTTTTCAGTTTAAATATTAACCGATTATAGAAGCAGAAGCAAATTCTGCAAGTGATGTTTTTCACATGTTTTTTTTGTTGTTGTGATCTGTCCCTTTGGCCTGGGAGTTCCTTGGAGGCTCACGCTGCGTCTCATCCCCAGCACCCAGCATTGAGCTGGCATGTGTTGGCGCTCAATGAAGCTTGAACAAATAAACAAATGAAGAAATGGCTCAGGGATGGACTGAGGGGAGCAAATTAGAAAACATGGAATGCTGAGCCCTTCAAGTGGGTATCTTTTTAAGTAAAATATTAATTGTGGGCATACATAGTCCTCCAGCACTGCCTCAGTTCATGCTACAGATCTGTCCAACACGAATTCCCATCCAAGCAGAGGCATTCTGATGTCATGGTGAAACTATCCTACTATAACTGATTTAAATAAAGCCAAGATCTTACAGGATTAAAGCAGATTCTTTCAAGAGCTCAGTATAAAGTGTTTTGCAGGCCAGGTGTCCAAGAAATGAAATCATCACATTACTGAATTTGCTATCAATTCTAGAAAAAAAATCAAATGCATTGTCCCACAGATTGACTCATCTCTACCCTGCCTTTGAGAGTAAGTGAGATACCTTACACTGACCTCATTACTGGGGTTAAGGCAAGGAGCTAATCCAGCTGTAAGAGGAGAATGGTTATATACAAAAGCCTTCAAGGAAAAAGAGCTTTAGTGGAAAAAATTATTCTGGAGCTAAAGATCTGGTTTAAATTGATTGGTTGCTATTCCACAGAGGGTAAGGAGGAGGCTAGTGTCAGAAGTATTACTGAAACACAGGCAGCGATGCTCAAAGACTAGCAGTTTGGGTTCATTACCCTGACTTACAAAATAGTGTTTTAATTCTACCAAAAACAAAGTTATGTGGGGGATGTACAGGTTTTTTTTTTGTTTTGAAGGAATTTGCTAAATATTAACAACAGATCAGAAACAAGCATGCCCAGGAAAAAATATGTATATATACATACACACACACACACACACACACACACACACAACCTGACATTATTCCTTTGGGAGGCATAGTTTTGCTTGCAAGGAAACTCATCATTTTCTTGCCACTTCACAGGTAAGTACCTAGAAAAAAATCTGCCAATGCCATGGAATAAAATACCAGAGTGAAGGGTTTTATCCTATTCTCCTGAACTCATTTTGGAGATGTTTTCTAGAATTTTTCTTTGCAGTTTTTGGCCGGGGCTGGGTTTGAACCTGCTACCTCTGGCATACGGGGCTGGTGCCCTACTCCTTCAAGCCACAGGCACTGCCCATCTAGAGATATTTTTGATTAATGGACATCACAGACTTCTGAAGCAACCAAGGCCCCTCCTACCTCCATTTCCTCTAGTTCCCCATCTTAAATGCTCCTCTTCCATAGCTATGCAAATTTGAGAGAGCTCTCAAATTCTCTTCCATCTTTCTATAATCACAAGTGCTCATGCTGATACCTCTGAAATGAGAGATTCTTAGTAAAACAAAGCAAAGCAATAATATCTGGATGCTATCAATCTGTTCTTAGCATATACTTTTATTTTTTTCTCCCTTTTCATCCTTTTTTATTTACCTCCTGGGGTCCAGATCACTTCATTAAATCCTTCATTTATTCATTTATTTGTTTACCTATTAATCCCCTTGCCATTTCTTCTTTATTTAGTAATTCATTATCTCAGCCACTATTCTCATTCATACATTCAGTCTCTCATGCTCCATCTAACTCTTCATTCATTTATTCTACAAACTACTTGTCCGGCACTGTTCTAAGTTCTATGAACAAAGGAGAGAACAAAACAAAATATGGCAATGAACAAAACGTCCTTTTCCTTATGGATCTGGGGAAGGGGACAATAAACAGATACAAAAATAAATACATAATGTAATTTCAGGTAGTGATAAGTGTGATGAGGAACAGCCTTTGTTCATTCATTCCATAAATACTCACCAAGTATTACTATGTATGAGACACATGGTTAGATGTTTGGGACATGGTGGTGAGCAAGACCCAGGTCCTCACCCCCGAGAAAGCAATGCAGTGATTCTTAGCCCTCAGAATTTGGATTTTTAAAAGTTCCTTGGGTAATTCTGTCTAGAGGCCACAGTTGAGATCATTTCATCAAATAACCCACATCACCTGTATCAATTATAAAATATCTCTGTGTGCTTTGCAGGCCTCTCAAATTTGTTCTAATCTTATCTCTACAACTGTCAGGTTTTCTCGTCTCTATTTTCTCAGTTCTCACAACCTTTCACTTAAATTTCTTCTCTCATATCCTAATTTAACTAACTCTCACTTTCCACACAGTTGCTAGAATGATATCTCAAAAAAAGTAAAGTTGATTAAAAAGTCATTTGATGGGACCACACCTACAGTACATTTACAAGGTACATGTTAAATCTACTAAGTGTAGAATATGAATGTCTTAATACAATAACTAAGAAAATGAGGTGATGGCTATGTTAACCAGTTTGATGAGAATATTTCAAATTGTATATAAAACCAGCACATGGTACCCCACAATTGCCTTAGTGTACACAGCTATGATTTAATAAAAAATAAATAAATAAAAAGTCATTTGGTGGCTCTTTGTGACTTAGAGGAAAAAGTCTAGCCTCTGGGCCAACATTCACGTTCAAGGTTATTCAATCTGATCCCAGCCTCTTCTTTCGGCATTATCTGCCACACTAGACCACTTCCAGGTCTCCTGTGCCTGCACAGGCCAAGCCCTACCAGATCTCCATCTTATCTCCTCTGCCTCTACCGTCTTCTCCCCATGTCGACCTAACACGATCCTTCTCATCCTTTAAGAATTGCTGCAAATATGACTACTTCTAACAGCTTCCCTAACAATCCCTCCCCTCTACTCCAAAGTCAGTATTGATGAAGCTGTGCTCCCACAGCTTTTTAAATACTCTTATCACATGGTTCACAATTTATAATCATACCCATTAGCCTCTTCTCCAAACAATGGGTTCCTCAAAGATATCTTGCTCATCTCTGAATTCCTAGGTAACATCTTATATGGAATAAATACTCAATAATGTTGGTTGACTGAACAAATGAAGAATTAGTAGCCCTATTAGAATGGTTTATTCACCTGGATGCTAGGAAGACATTAAGTCAGTGTTTTCAGTGAATTGCAAACAAAGGCATTTAAATATTGAATTTCCTATTCTAAAAGCAAATCTAGCCAACCTATAGAAAATGTTTGTATCTTCACCTTCATACCTATTTCTCTCTTCTTTGCCTTATTTTTCTCCATATCTCCCTCTTAAACTGCCTTTCCTTATTCTTTTGCCTGTGGCTCAGGTCAGCCAACAGTACCTCCCTGCTTATTTTTGTTATAACAGAGGCAGTCACTGATCCAGGACTTTATATATAGTTGGAGTAAGACAACATCTTCTTAGTGTGATGTCGGGACATCAAGAATGCCACTGCCTTTAATATAACTCTCTTTCCACCTACAAACTTGCTTCCTTAGATTGAAAGCTCTGACTTCTCTCAGGATTCATGAAACAGGGTAATTACTCAATTTTGTTTCTCAGAAACTATTAGAACTTATAGTCCTTCTAATAGAAAGTCTGTACAGTATGGAAGCCAAGTACCTAGAAGACATTGATTCTTGCCTTATTTTTTTTTAAGTATTTAATTAGCATTAGGCACAGATTACTTATAATTCACAGACATTTAGCAGCAAACTTTCTATGCAATTTAATAAATTCTGCAAATTTTTTTAGCTCTGAGATTATTACCAAAGGGTTACTGTTTATCAGTCATTAACACTTTAGAGTGAATTATTTTGTTACATTCCCTCCCAGGCAGGAACTGAGGAACTTTATTTTTTACTGATACATAATATTTTACATATTTATGGGGTCTGTGTATTTGTTATACATGTGGAATATGTAATGATTCTTGCTTTATTGTGATATCCTCATCTTGCTATACACTAGATCAGCAGTTCTCAACCGGTGGGTCAGGACCCCCGTGTAACAATGAAAATACATCATAGCATTAGGAAGGTTGAGAGCCACTGCACTAGATGATAAAGACCACTTGAGCTGTATGTTAGGATGGCACAAACATGTTAGGACTCATGTTTCAGTAAGGTGACCATTAAGAGCAGGAAAGAAGGTTAACATTTCCTTCCATATAGGCTTAAGTTATTTTAAAAGTCAAGTGCCCTTTAAGGTGGAATACTTGTTAGGATCCCTTGAAAGGAGAAAGGAAGAAGCCCTCAGGCTACTGAGGCAGGTGAGATGCAGAAAGGTGTGGGAAGAGGGTCCAGAATGGGGAAAGACTCGGGAAGCTTGGAAAGCACTTGAGTAACTATCATTTGTTCAGAGGTCCTAATGGCCTTTCAGTGGCCACAGAACCAAAACCATATAAGCTACCTGAGGTATTGGTCCTTAGAGAGCAAGAAAATGGAGAAAAATGAAAAGGTCGGTCCATTTCCAGGCTTCTTCGGTCTAAAGAAATACCAGTAACAGGGAAATCTAAGGCTTGGTCAGCAGAAAGACTACTATACTGTCAGTGTTACCTACACTTTCCCTAGGACAAGCCACCTCAATAACAAGAGGGGGCTTCTCATCGCAGAACAGGCCTCCCTCTATAGTCAGGACACATCACACCTCATTTATGGGCAGGGTCCTAACCTCCATGGGAAGATATTCTCACATTTTTATTCTGTATTCCCCACCTTGGCTCAGCCATGTCCTGTGGATTATTATGTATGTGTTCAACAATTATTGGGTGGAGTGGGGCTATCAGTGTGTGGCTCCTGAACCAGTTTCAGTCCATGAACTGTTTGTCACTGGCTCACAATATGTACAGAAATTGAGCGTATGTGTTGAGACCCATGTACAGCAATTTGCTGAGACATCCTAGCATAACATCAGTGGACGTACTTTTTTTTTTTTTTTTTTTGTTGGCCAGGGCTGGGTTTGAACCCACCTCCTCTGGCATATGGGGCCAGCGCCCTACCCTTTTGAGTCACAGGCACCGCCCTGGACTTACATTTTTTGTGCCATTGTTCCCTATATTTCATTTTTCTAGTATTCACTTTTATTATATTTTATAAAAGATATCAACCTATGATGATTAAAAATATGAAATGAAACAAGATTGGTCCTTCACTACAAACAATTCATGAAGTACTATTCCAGTCAGTACTGCCCTGGTAGAAGTCAATAACCAGAATTAGAACTGTGAGCATTTGCATTTTCTCTTTGCCACTCCAGAGGAAAACTTACTTTCCTTTCCTCTGCACATAAACCTTTCCCTGATTCCCTTTGCTACAGGTGCAAACAAATGCGAGTTTAGAAAAAATGTAGGTGGCCGCCAATGCTCAACTACATTCTGAGTGCCCACAGCAATTTAATTCTTCATAGGTAGAGTCCCACAGAATTGTGTCCACGGGAGAAAGAAGATTCTTGCAGCAGAACTTATTAGCAAAAGGTCCTCAGTCACTGTTGCCTCACGCTCCCTGAGTACTGGCTAAGAAAATATTGACAGGTATTGAGTCATTCTACTGAAGTTCACTTAGTCTGAAAATACAGGCCTCAAAATACACTTAACACACCCAGTTTACAAAGGTTAAAATATAGGTGAGAAACACCGCAGGAACCTGATACCAAGTAAGGGAGCAGTTTCTGATATGGAAAGAAGGAAGTAAAAAATAGCTCCTCCTATCATGACTGCCACCCATGCCACGTATTGTGTGCTTGGCCTTCAGTAAGCAAAGCATGCCAGATACATCTAACATCTTTATTCTGCCTTCCCAAGCACACTTTATCCATGAAATAATAGCATAATTATAATGCCACCTGGAAATGGCCAATTTTTTTTTCTTCTGAGAAGTGCCAAATGATACTCATAACTCTCTTATTTAATCTTACAACATCTTGGTGAGGCAATTCCGTTCTGATTTTCAGATGAGACCAGAAAGCCTTGCCTGAGGTCACTCACACAAGGAATGCAGAAAACAGTGGAGATGCAAATCATGAATGCTGCATTATTAGCCCCAAATAGAGAAAGAATGAGAGAAAACCCACTAGCCCTATGGGCCATAAGGAAAAAGAGTCTGGCTATGAGCGCAGTGGCACCTCTGTTGCTTTGGGCTTTTTGAGATGAGATGAGTTAATGGAAGGAGGATGGGAAGTCTGACCCATAAAACTGGGCAACCAGCTACTTGTCTCTGAAAAATCTCCTTTCCCATTCTGCAGCACCTGCTCCCTCTCCCCTGAGCTGGCCGGTGGCGCTCTAATCCCCACCATCCCAGCTCTTAAGAGCTATTCTCAGTCCCTCAGTCTCTTGGAGGTGAATCTAAATGACTGTGTTCTTTCCCCTGTGGTTTCTAATTTCTTTTTTTTTGTTTGTTTGAGACAGAGCCTCAAGCTGTCACCCTGGGTAGAGTGCTGTGGCATCACAGCTCACAGCAACCTCCAACTCCTGGGCTCAAGCGAGTCTTCTGCCTCAGCCTCCCAAGCAGCTGGGACTACAGGCGCCCGCCACAACGCCTGGCCATTTTTTGGTTGCAGCCATCATTGTTGTTTGGTGGGCCTGGGCTGGGGACTCGAACCCGCCACCTCAGGTGTATGTGGCTGGCGCCTTTGGTTTCTAATTTCTTAGGTAACATCTTTCTTTATGAAAGACGGACCATCATCCTATTAGAGGGACTGCAGGCAGCTGGTGAATAGGGAGTGACCAAGGGGAAGGGAGTGGAGTGTTCCTCACACTCTTTCCTGAGCTTCCTAAAGTATCTGTGTGTAAGCAAGAGCTCATGCTCCCATTTCTTGAGCACTTACTATGTGCTTTGGGCTAACTTTAGAATTCTACATTCAGTAGCTAATTAAGTGCTCAATGACCCTGCTAGCAAGCTATTATTATTTCTATTTTAATGCTGAGAAAGTAAAGGCCCAAGAAGTTAAGTCAATACTACTACCAGGTCACACTACCAATTAGTGACTACTGTTGAGGTGTTTTAATTTCTACCCAACATGGCCTTTACAGATGGATAGAACATTACAGTCTTGTAGGGGAAACGGTACAGCCTATACTCCATGGGAAACAAAATGATCCCCTCTCCAACTGGGAAATGGATAAATAATGGGTATGCTAATAGAATTAGGATTCCATTATCCCTGTGACATAACGCTACTCACATTTAACTTTAAAATGCCTGTCGGTACTCTTATCATACACCTTTCCCTTCACCTTTCAACTACACTGGCAATATTCCTGTTCCCCAGGTGCCTCAGCTGTGGGCCCTGACTCAGTAGTTGTCCCACCAGCAAATTCATCAACTTCCAACTTCCTCCTCCAAATAGAACTGTCTTCACTGAGGAGCAAGAAATAAAATGCAACTGCCCCTCCCACCACAAAGTAACAATTACACCCTCAAGGAACAGATGCCAGCAGGAAGATCGGTCAATGCCTAAAAGAAAACCATTATGATTTAAAAGGTTTGTGGCTGTGTTGCCCCAGAACTGGCTATATCTTAGGAAGGATGTACATAATATATTTCGATTGGTCAGATAATAACATGTAAGGAAAACACTAAAAAAAATTAAGACTGAAATACTAAGGACAATCTGTATCCTTGAGAGGCATTCATTGCCTATCTACCATCTGCCAGGTATCCTCCATAACTTATCACTCATTTTCATCATAGACGTGGGTATATATAGCATTCCTAGCTATGTTAAGAACACAGACTCAGAAAGGTTAAATGACTCACCCATAGTCAAATGGCCAATACATGGCAGATTCAGACTTTGAGTTATTTTGTCTGTCTGGTTTGGGGGCTTGAGCTTCTTCCACTGCACCAGCTGTTACAATGTGATCATAATGCAGTGCTTCTCTGAAATGACCTGTTCCCCTGTACTCATTCTAGAGTACCTCTTCATTTTACTCTACGGAGTAGATTTGTACTTCTTAGCACAAATTAAAACAAAACAAAACAAACTATCATTACTAGTGCTGGAAGAAATCACCACTTAACATTTTAATTTTGATTCAAATTCAAATTTACTTAGTAGAAATTCTGGAAGCCGGGGAATTTGTAGCAGTCTGGCATTTGTGCTCACAGCCCATCACTGTGCCTGCACAGCACACCAGGCCATGAAACCTGTGCAGCACCTTGCCCTGCAAGCTCTGTCTTACCTCAAGCTTGCTGGTGCTGCATCTTCTTCCGGCTCCTCTGCAAGGCCAGCTACCTCTGCGGGAAGGAAAGCATCTTTGTTGACATTATTCACCCAGCTTTCCTTCTCCACGTTTGCTCTGTCCTTACTTTGCTCAGCTGCAACAGGAAATGATAAAGATAGGAGGGTTATCTTTAGCCTCTGTGACCTACAACTCTCTTATCAGTTCTTATCATTGAGGGCTCCAACCTGAACTTCAGGCCTTCCCAGTGCCAAGGCAATCACTGAGTCTAAGCACTTGGGATTAGAATTACATCTGTGAAATGAGTCAGTAGATTCCCATGATATTAGCTTCTTTCCAAGCAGTCTCCCAAGAGCATGGGTGACTCTAGACACCATTAAAGCTGAATTCCAACTGTCTCTAGGCTAATCTGATTTGAATTGGGGTCAGGACCAAATGTGCATGGCCAAGGTATGCTCAGAGCAGGGAGTCCTCAGTGGCACAGACACATCAGCATTACTAAGCATTTAATGAACTGTTACAATGTGCCAGATACAAAGCTTGGCTTTAAGACACAAAGGGAGCAGATGATTCTAGTCTAGAATCATCTAGTCATGTCCCTCTCCACTGCCATAGCCTCTTCCTCCTAGTTTTTATACATCTAAATCACAAATACTCCTCACTCCCAGCTCATACGTCTGAGCCTCCATAAAACCTCTGTGCTTCCACTTCAGAAAATAAACTCTTATGCTTCTGAACACCAATTCTTTATCTGAACTTCTCTGACAATATCAACTGAATGATCACTATCAGGCACTATGCCAGTCCCTTGCATGCATTAATCTATGAGGTGGGAGAGATTTTCCAAGTTTACAGATTTGGAAATTGAGGATCAAAAAGTTCAAGAAACTTGCCTCCGGCCACATAGCCAGTAAGTGCCAAGAATACGTTCATCAATGTTAAGAAGATGAAGCGATACTGGGGCTCTCAATTTCCAAAGACTTTCCAGGATATCCCCCATTGGTCCTTTACACATAAGTCTAGTTTCTTGAACTGCAAAATGGAGTCCACAGCACTAACTAATACCCCTCAGGATTTTTGAAGGGTCTGGGTAGGGAAATTTTTGTTTAAGACAGGATCTTACTCTATCAACCAGGCTGGAATGGAGTGGCACAATCATAGCTCACTGTAGCCTTTAACTCCTGGGTTCAAGTGATCCTCCTGCCTTGGCCTCCCTAGTGGCTGGGCTACTGGTGTGCACCATCAGGCTGGGCTAATTTTTATTTTTTTATAGAAGTATAAGTCTTACTATGTTACCCAGGCTGGTCTTAGATTCCTGGCTTCAAGCTATCCTCCCTCCTCAGCTTCTCAAAGTGCTGGGATTATGGGCGTGAGCCACTGTGCCCTGCCATTTTGGAAAGCAAGAGGGCTACAAACAATACAATGTGCATACTAAGCACTCAGCTCTTATCTGCAAGGGGTATGGCACTGAAGCAGAAAGACTTTGCCATTTGCCAACTCTATGATCTTGGTCAAGTTAACTTCTCTGAGCTTCACATTCCTATATACAGAATGGGGAAAAAACAATGCCTACCTTACAATAGTGCTGCTACAATTAGAAGTGATAGGGATGAGATGCTTAACATACATTAGATGCTCAAAAAATGACAGCTATTTTCCTTGTTGAGCACAAGTCAGACCTGGACAGCGGTTTTCACTGACTAATATGCAGTTAATTAGAGAGAAAGTACCCAGTAAATATTTAATGAACTCAAAAGAATTCTAAACAAGCCCTCAAAATGTTTCTTTACAGTCCCTTAAATAATGTACTTGGATGATTAAAGACGACTTGACCAGATGTCAAGATTATTGAACAGGAAGGCTGATCTCTTTTTGTGTAAACCATTCACTTTACTCAGAAGGTTCTGAATCTCCAGAGTTAAAAACCGAAGAAGAGGTGATAGATCCTTTATAAGCCCAATTATCTATGCTACTACAACTCAACACTCATCTAAAGGGTGCCCTGTTACTTTACATCACACAGTCACTGAACCCTGCCCTCATCCATCTGAATCAAGGGCGAGAAGATTTTAAGCTAAAGGACCACACATTATGAAAAGCATACCTTCAAATGATTTCCCTCAGCAATTTCAGGTGGGAACTTAAAGGGAACTTGAAGTCATACCTTCCGGTGATGACTCTTGACACCCTTCCCCTCTCCCACCTTCCCATACAAATGCTGGCTGTGCATGCACAAGCCAACTCAACTCACCTGCAACCTGGAGCCTCTTCTTCCTCATCGATGCCCTGATGATATCTGCTCCATGGATTTTGTCTCTGTGCCTTTTTGCCTTGGCTTCATAAAACCATTGGCCACTCATATTCTTCAGCTGCTGGTCATCCTTAATTTTTTCAGGCAAATGTCTACAAAAGGAAAAGAGCTTTACTTCACTAAGAAATCCACAGTAAATAAATGAGCTCATTGTGGCAACGTACAAAGAAATGTGTAAACATACAGCCAAAAACGAAGCTTTCAATGTTTTAGAAGATCCCGCAAACCTCCCTGATGACTAACAAACGCACGCTCCCCTGTGGCTGAAAAGTCAGAGAAACCAACATCTTTTTTCAAATTCAAAAATGTAATCCATGATCCCCAGATGATACCTGAAATTTCTCAAGAGTAGATTCACTTTTTGGCAGTCGTCTTCTGTGTCTACTGTTTAAATGTTAACTATTGCAGTGAGGGATAATACGGAAAGGTTCCCTAAGCCTTGGTTTCCTCGTCTGTAAAAAGGGGTTGATAATAATAATCTACCTCATCGAGGTTGCTATGAGGACTAAATAAGCCAGTGCATGTAAACAGCCCTGTGCTCACGCCTGGCACCTAGTAAATACTCTCTGAATAACTGCTGGGGTCGTTATCTTCTCACCAGTCCTTTCCATTTTGGTGCTATCACTTTATCAAAGACTTTTCTTCCAAGCCGGAGGGTGGGGAGCCATGATGTTCCTGGTGCTTAATGAACACGGAAATGAACATGGGGAAGGCAGGTTGGAATCAGGGAAGATCAAATTTGAGCACACCGTTGTGCAGGCAAGTTCCATCTGTGCAGATACTGCTTTTAAGGGTTCCACAATCATGTGTGCTCACTGAAAAGCAAAAATGTAAAGACAAACCACATACAGCACTGCCCTCCTGAAATTTCCCCAATTTATACTGCTGGATAAAACATTGTTCTGATAAGTCTGCATCTTTCTGCCTCAATAAAATGAAAAAAAAAAAACCCTATCTTTTATTACTCATAGAGATGAACTTAGAATAAAAGCCTTAAGGAAACTTTAAACTCTTGGAAGATAACATGCTACATAAATCCAAGTGGGCCTTATAATTGTCATTCAAGCTAATGTGCACAATTCCTAAGTAATAAATCGAAGTATTCTAGGCAGAGAAGGTGGATGGCTGAGGTGGTCACAGGGCTGTGTATGAGGGCTGCACACAGGCATACCTGGGAGTGGGCAGTTACCCCAGGTCTAGCAAGGATGTCTCCTCTCCCTGAAGCATGGGAGAGCATCCCTTTACCCAGAGTAAACTCTGCTAGAACCTCCTCTCCTCTCCCAGTTACCAGGAAGAAGTGACCCTATCCCAAATCTATCCAGTCACACATTGTCACAACAACCCATCTCCAAATCTTAACGGGGACATTGTCATCACTTTGTGGTTCGGAGTCACCAAAGAGATTCAGTTCTTATTAAATATTTATTATAGTTTCTCACTGCCTAAGGCATTCAGCAGCGCAAACAATCCCTTCTGGGTTGTTGGTACTAAGCTTTGTCCTCCCAGCAGGACCAAGTGGGAGTTACTTTAGCTGCAGAAGAGCAGAGTTGTCCTTCTGCCTCTCCCTGGTCAGACAGTGAGCTCCTGGGGGAAGGCCTGCACTGCATACCTCTTTGTTTAGCATCTGGCAAGGCGCGAGCACTTACTCAGAGCTTGCGGAGTGGAAGAATCTCACAGGGAGCCCCATGACCTGGCTTCAGGTTACATTTTCAGGTTCCTTTTCTAACACTTAGTCCCATCCCCCACTTGCCTATTTGACTCCCTATTATTCTTGAAACTGCTCTTTTGTGAGCTCTGTTGACATTAGAGACAAAATATTGCAAAAAGACTATAAGCTTTGGAAGCTGCCAGAATTAGGTCCAAATCTCAGTTCTGATTCTTTCTAGATGTGACCTTGAACAAGTCACCAAATCCCTCTTTGCTTTAGTCTTCTTGTTCATAGGGAGGGGAAAATAAGACCTACCCTGAAGGACTGCTGGGATGATTGTGGTTTATCTGAAAGTACTTAACAGTGCCTGGTTCCTGGTAAGAAGCCAGAAGTGTGAAGTCTGCTGAAATGCCTTCCCCTCACTTCTCTGTCCACACATTGCTCTCCCTCCTTCAGATCCAGCCCAAGTAGATTGCTTTGCCATCAGTGAAGGCTTCCCTGACGCACAAGGCCGCAGTCTGTCCTTTCCACGCTCCCACAGCACCTCCCCTGCAGTACTCACCACACCACGTTCCAATGATCTATTTGCACATCTGTTTCACCCACTAATCTGTAGATTCTGCAAACTCCACGAAGGCGAGGACTACATCTTAGTCACCTTTGTAACACCAGTGCCAATCCTGGCACAGAGCTGATACCCAAGAACTGTTTGGTGAGTGAATAAATCAATGAACAAATAAATGCTCTGCAGCCACCCTAGTCTGAGTCAGCAAGCGATACGTAAGAGCCTGTCACTGCTGAGGTGAAGTGAACTGTACCCCATCCCAATGGCAGTGTCTTCTCCTGGAGAGGCAGGACATGCTCATCTCTCATCGGGACAGGAAAAAACATCATGAACACTGGTGTCAGTCAGCATTCTTGTTGAAGGGGACCATGAAACCCTCACAGCATAGCAACTCCCAATTTTTCTTCATGAGATTATTTTTGTTGTTCAAGTAAAAGGCAATTTGTAGGGATTCTTTTTTCTTTTCTTTCTTTCTTTTTTTTTTTTTTTTGAGACAGAGTCTTTCTATGTCGCAGTTGGTAGAGTGCTGTGGCATCACAGCTCACAGCAACCTCACCTCAAACTCTTGGGCTTAAGTGATTCTCTTGCCTCGGCCTCCCAAGTAGCTGGGACTATAGGCACCTGCCACAATGCCTGGCTATTTCTTTGTTGTAGTTATCACTGTTGTTTTAGCTGGCCTAGCTGGCCAGATGGGTTGAAACCCGCCAGCCTGGGTATATGTGGCTGGTGCCCATTTGTAGGGATTCTCGTGCAACTCTTGATCTCTTCCTGCCTAAATGACTTTCTGCAAGCCCCGGATCAGTGCACAATGAGCACAGGCTGTATGTCAGATTCAATGAAACACATGGCCCCTAAAAAGGCTAGTCCCTATTATAGGAAGGAAAGCGTTTCTGGCTCATTCACTTTAAAGTACCAAAAGAAAAGGAAAATTCTTTCCAATTTAATAAATGCCACTCACATACTTCCTAACATGGCTATCACTAGGTTTAATAATCAACTTATTTTTCTACCCTGGTCAATTATGATGTTTTTTGGATAAATCTATACGTATAACATCAAAGTCCACGTTTGTAAAGTACAGATAATTTTAAAAATCCCACTACTTAGTGGTACTATTAAAATCTCCTCTTCTACCAGGCCATGTTAATCTCTGTCTTTTCCTGAATTCTAATTGCAACAACCAAATTAACATCTGAATCTCTAATCATTGCACCGTCTAGCTGAAGTGGGGGAAAGGATACATTTCTTGGGACTGACACGTTTTATCCTTTATCATCCTCCCTTCAGATGCACCTTGTATTTAGCAGAGTGCTGGACATACAGAGAAAATGCTCACCTCCCATGGGGTGGGAGGCCTGGGGGCTGATGGGCAGGAGAAAGGTGGAAGAAAAGCACTCAGCCCAAGAGGACACCATCCTGCCAGCCTTCTGGGCTGAATGGCCTGTTTATTCTCCCATTAGCTCTCTCATTCCTTCTGCTAACACTTTACAAGGTATTGATTCCGTACTGAACCACATACTTGGGGCTTCACATGCATCATGATCATTTAATCCTTACACTTTCCCCAACGTGTATTAAGAATTTAATACACTGCAGAAGATGGCCGTTTTGCCTCCTCTGTCTGTTAAAGGCTGTACCTAAACCCTGTCTGGTTATTTGTTTACTCATTCATTCATTCCCTATTACATATGAGGCATAAACTCAGAATTGTGCAGGAAACAATTCAATTTATAGCTCTAACTGTCAATGACAACTCCTTTTGGTGCAGAGGGAGTGTGAGCATTTACAGAGGAAAATTAGAAGAGAAGTGATGCCTCCGGCCTGGCTTCACAGCTTCCCCCCAGGCCTGTCCCTTTTTGTGCTCACATACGCAGACCTCAGTTTCCAGCTACTGAACATCGTCAGGCAAAGGCCTGACACCAAAGGCAGGAACTGGTTGAAAATATCCAGTCAACTGTGGTTAGTAAGGCTGGCCCAAGAGGTTGATGGGGCCCATCCTCTACCCTTTCTTTCTTTCTTTTTTTTTTTTTTTTTAATTACTCCATTATATTCTGGACAAGAAGTTCAGATTATGAGATTTGGACATACTGTAGATGTTTTGAACATGAGAGTTGAGAAGGACCTTAGATAGTTCCAAATAGCCTCACTTTCTAGAAGAAATGATAGAGGCCCAGAGAAGTTAATAGGCTTGCCCAAGGTCACACTGAGCTGGTACCGGAAGCCAGTCTCTCAGCCAACACTCTTTCCACCGCCCCACACTGCCTCAGAGAGCCAGATGTGATTTCAGTTTGTAAAATGGCTGGCACACTTCAGTTTTCTACCAAGGAACTCAATCTCTGAGTCTGAAAACCAACACATGAAAATGAGGCCAAGTGCAAACGTTCCTTACAATGGAAATAAGAAGCAACGCGGCTCGTATCATAGATTCCCACAATCTGCTGCGACAGCACAGTGTGTAAAAAGTGCACAGGCTGGGGTCAGCAAGGCTCCAAGCCTAGGACACTCCCCCTCGTCAGTCCCATTTCCCTGTCTGTCAAGTGGGTTCAGCTACCCTGTTCCGAGGATGAAACAGGAAAATGTATGTGAAGCGCTGTGTACGGTGCAGTTCCTTGACAAACGCTGGTTCCTTTTGGCTTTGCTTTGACAGAAAACACCAAGGGAGTTCTTGCACCTCAGTTCCTCAATGACAACTGCCTTTGTTTAAAAGAAACTAGGTCTTAGGGAGGCAGCGGAGAATCATAAGATGTGGTGGCGGTTGAGATGGTATCTGCGGCAAAAATGCCCATAGCTGTAGATGTGGTTGTGTGTATGGGGTGGGGGAGGCGGTGCTGGTGTGCAGACAGACGTGCAGAGCAATTTCCTGCTGGCAGCGCAACACAAAGCACAGGAAACACCACCTCCTCCATGTGTCGTTTTCAAACCGTACAAGATGAAAATTACGTATTTTAGTATGCATGTATGGCGGTGCTTCCTTAGAGGAGGAGGGAGAGGATACCAAGGGGAGCACAGAGAGGAAGAGAGAGAAAGACAGAAACACAGAGGGCGAGGATGGGAAAGGAAAAGCATCTACCCTGACATCGGCTTCACTGCTGGTCTGTGAAATGTCTGTCTTTGAATCGGGAAGCCAGGCAGTAGCAATACATAGTTAGAGCTCAGTCTAGCACCTACAGCTACAGATAAGACAGCCACGGTGGCAGCAGTGGCCTGGACCCCACAGACACTACAGTGGATTCCTCTGAGTTCAAGTCCACGTTCTACGATCAGCAGGTTCAGAGATTTAGGAACTAGACACTTCCCCTGTACAACACTCATTTCCCCCACCCATGAAATCAGGATGGGAGGTAACATATAAACTAAATCATCTCCCAAGTGGCTTTTATGAGCTTGGGGATCTGAAGAACTGAAAAGCACTGGATATATCGAGAATGGCAAACAGATTTTAATATGAACGCTAAATCTTACCTATAGCCATGTTAAAAAATATTCTATAGCAGTGTCTGGTCTTGTGGGCAACACTGCTATAATCCACTAGGAATGCCCTCAAAGCTAAAGGAAAGTTATACTCTAAAGTCTAAAAATTAGCATTTGAAAGAACACTCTGAATTTTAGTGGCAATTTTGCCTTTCTAATGGTGTTTTGCTTAGGCTAACATTCTAATTATATATTGTGTTTCTAAGCTACATCAATTACGAGAAGTAGGCCATTGTAAAATCATATTAGGGAAACAAAATTTCGATTTTAAATTTGCAATTGACAATCTCTTAAATGGCTACAGGCCAGCAGATAGTGAAGGATGAGGCTGTATTTTCAATTGCTTTAGAATTCTCTTCACAGGCTCGGTGCCTGTGGCTCAAGCGGCTAAGGCACCAGCCACCTATACCTGAACTGGCCCACCAAAACAAATCCAGCCCAGGCCCACCAAACAACAATGATGGCTGCAGCCAAAAAATAGCCAGGCGTTGTGGCGAGTGCCTGTAGTCACAGCTACTTGGGAGGCGGAGGCAGGAGAATTGCTTGAGCCCAGAAGTTAGAGGTTGCTGTGAGCTGTGATGCCACGATACTCTACCCAGAGCAACAGCTTGAGGCTCTGTCTCAAAAAAATAAAGAATTCTCTTCACACTATCATCCAGAGCAATTCCTTGTTCTTACTATGTGATCAATTAAATCTCACTGCATTAAATAATTGAGTGTTTTAGGAGCAATTTCTTTCTTTTTTTATTTTTTATTTTTTTTTATTGATAGTAACTATAGGAGCAATTTCTTTCTAAGCAATCACAGTACTAACTGGAGTCTTCTATCCTTTTTTAGAGGTATAGGTATAGTGGTGAATAGGCAATTAAAATGTATCCAGGACAGGGTGGCACCTGTGACTTAAAGGAGTAGGGCGCCAGCCCCGTATACCGGAGGTGGTGGGTTCAAACCTGGCCGCAGCCAAAAACTGCAAAAAAAAAAAAAAAAAAAGCGTCCAGCACATATTATGTGCCAGGAAGATTAAAAATTATTTTATGTAATTCTGACTTTATTCTTTTTTTTTCTTTTCAGTTTTGGCAAGTCATTTCCCTCCCTCTGGGCTTTTACCTTTATTATCTGTAACCCAAATAAATCTCATTCCCAGAGCTGTCCACTATAGCTCTGACGGAAGACAAAAGACAAACAGCTGAGGGACGGCGAAGGGGCTGAGAAGCGAAAGCTCATAGACTAGCACATTCAAAGACCAGAGACCCAGTTCTGGTTCCACCATCCCAGGAACAGAATCGCCTCAGAACTATCCCCACAAGTCCCTTCAGACCTAAAGGGAAGAGGGTGTCAGAGCAAAACTCTTCTTGCATGGAGCAGGCAACAGGCTGGGCCTCTTTCAGGGTCTGCGGCCGTGGGTCCCATCCATGCGCATGCCCGCGCCTCCCAGCCCCAGGCTCCTGGAACTGCCTTCATGGTGCCTTATTGGTAAGTCCCCCAGAAAAGCAGTGCTAGAATGGGCCTGACTAGACTGGAGTTTTCACCACTCCAGGCCTTCTTCCTATCATTTACTCATAAAAGCAAAAAAAAAAGGACAGCACCAGCTGCTGGGCACTCTCAGAAACAGCAAAGAAGGCAAGTCCACAAAACCAGCACCACGCATTTTTGCTGCAGCTGTAGAAACTCTGGTACCCAACAGTACACACACCTCTCACAATTCCAGACAGAACTTTAAATTTTTTAGGATGTTTTCAACAACCGATACAAATGACCAAGAAACACCTTCACTTTACTCAGAATCACAGAACTACAGGGAAGACTCAGCAGCCTGAAATCCAAGGGGTCAAGTAGATACAGAAGGAAGGAGGGAGAGAGGCTCTCTCCTTGTAACTGATCAGCTAGAGGGATAGAACCCCAGACCCAAAATAACACTTTGGTGAGCAGAGAAATAAAAGGTACTGGCACCTCTCCAACCCACGTCCTAAAGGAGGAAGAGGGGCTCAGAGCAGTCCGGTTCTACTGCTTTCTTTCCCTGTCCCTCCACCTTGCCTTCGGAGAGGATGAAGGAATTCCCACTTCCCATTATGCTGGAAGATTTTCCCCACACCACCCCTCCCCTTATTCCTCAATGGGTGTAACAGTCCCTGCCTTGCCACCTCTCAGGATTGCTGTGAGGAACATAAGATAAAATCACCGTGAAGGGTAATGCTACCAAAAGGCTCTGCGGGCTGAGTTACTGTCAATCCTCTACCCGTCCTGGGGAAACAGCTCAAGGCATGTGGCTTACTGAGAGTAGGCAGCAGAGCCCCGCTGAGGTGCACAGAGCACTACCCGTGGGGAAGAGCAGGATCCCACCACCTCCAGCCATCACTTGTCATCAGCACAGCTCAGTGTCCTACTCCACAGCATGACAGCCAACCCCTTCCCCACTGCCAGGTCCCAGGATGGTTCCTCTGTGATGTTGCCTCAGGGAGAGGAGGTGGCGTTAGTGAATGAGTACCTGAAGACTGGGATTTGAGCCCCACTTTTGATAGTCACCAATTGTGTGATCTTGAGCAAGTCACCCGACTTGTCTGACAGTCAACTTCCACACACATCAACTGGGGCAACTGTATCCCACTCTATCCCCTAACTGTACATCTTTATTATTCATAAGAAATAATGGGCATGTTAAGGCTTTTTCAACTTTTTAAACACCGCCTATATACAGGTTAATATTAGTAGCTATCATCAGATACTCTGTAGTGAAGTGAATTTCAGTGTTGTTTAAGAAACAAAACATCCATGTCCAATTAAGGTCAAAATATGGGAAATGGCAGAAAAAATCCTTTATTTATGGTCCTGTGTTCTAGGAAGAATATGGTTTAAGCCTCCCTTGGATAACTCCTAAAGTGAAAGTGATAAAATTAACACTCCTAACTTACACTCAGGAAGCTTTCACTGCCTTCAAAGCCCCAGATTCCTCAGGCAGTAAATGTCAGGGCCTGGACTAAACCTAGTTTTTCAACATCTCGGTCCAGTGCTCTTCCCACCACTAAGGTGAGAAAGCAGTGGGAATGTTGACGTGGAACATCTGGGTTCCACCCAACAAGGACAGCGTGTCAGCTGCCCATCCTTTTTATGGGACTCAAATCAAATGAAAACTTGGCTCAGTCAGAGAGTACTTTTAATTTTGCTATTAAAACCAATCCCAACACTTATGAAAGTATGCAGAAATGTGAGCTACTTCTCATTCTCTTTTTAAAATTTAGAAATTAAAATTAGAAACTCTAACTTGGTTCATGACTCAGTAGAAAAAAGTGGACATAAATGCACACAGGCAAGAATGTAGAAAAACTTCTGTCCAGGAAGTAAACCTAAAATTGGAACCTGTAACTTTAGGCTCCACATCACAACTACCACTTACGGTTGAAAAAAACAAAGTGTCCCATTTTCTTATGAACTGTCCCTCTCTTCCCTCACAGCCTCGGACTTCTCTGGCCCCTTACCTGACTCTCTCCTCTTCAGCCCTCTTTAGGGCAGCATCCCGCTGTAGAACCTTCAGGATGGCCTCTTGTTCTTCCTCAGTCAGGAAGCTTAAGTCAATCATTGTGAAAAGTGCATGCAAAAATAATAGCAAAAAATGTGGCTTAAAATTCCCAGGGCCAAATAACTAAGACTGCAACCAGAAAGATGAGAAGATCCAAAAATGAACTGATATACAATATCCCATTGAGTTCTGCAGCAGTAGTCTTATTTTGGCTCAGCAAAAGTGTTGGGTAGCTGATAGCAAAATCCTACGTGCCCCTTGCCATGCGGAAGTAGTGGTGCACAGGATGATGTTGAGAAGGTGCTCTCAGAAGGACGCTGTATTCCTTGCCAGACAGGTTGCTTGTTGCTTGTTGCTCCCAGCAGGCTCCTTATCTGGACCAGTCTTAGACACAGTTTATTCTCTCTCCGCCCTCGCTGTCAGCTTGATGAGAGGCAGCAGCATCAGAGCGTCACCTACCTGGGGAATCATGAGACAGCAAACATCAGACAGTGAGAGGCAGGTCCTACAAGCATTTTTCATTATTACAATATTTTTAAATGACCATATGAGTTGGTCTCTGAGATCAGGAAAACCAGTTCAGCCGGCTTCCTGAACAAATGGTAAATAGGTCATGAAACATGCTTCAACCCAATTCCAGACTACCAGGATGGACAGCAGACAAAAATGCCTGTCAATGATTAACAATTCACCTGAGAAAAGGAGGGTTCCAAAAAGGAACAGGTTCTCTTTCTGCAAACTCCCGGGACATTAGACTAAGAAGTCATGCTAAAGGTTAGTAAGACTAGAGAGATATGATTTCAGTTGTCAAGTAATTGTGAGTAAGACACTAGGAATAAAAGTTTTAAATGCTTACCTCTTTACAAGTAAGAACGTTCCTCTGTACTATATCTGTACACCATAACAGGAGAACTAATATCAGGTAGAAACAGTTTGCAGAATAGTGGGAATCGTAATTCTTCATTCAGTTCCACCACTAACTTTTGCTGGGGCTGGAGAGACCTACCAAGCCTGTCTCCCTTCATTTGTCAGGGGAAAGAATACTTGCTTATGTGTGGACATAAACTGGGGGAAAGGAAAAAACGGAATTTCAAAACACTCTATCACCCAGACCAAGCATTTCTGAGTAGCACCAAGGGCAAGAATCCTATTTTCTTTAAGGCATTTTTAACTTGCATGGAATGGAAAAGGGGTGAGTCCTGAAGAACAAAAGCCGCAGCCAGGCAGGATCTCAGAACTCATCTACTCACGGCGGGGGCACTTTTAGCAAGTGTGCTGCTTCACATGTAGTAGAAGGAAAGGCCACGTGTTTGGTCAATTTTAAAGCAGTCTCATTTGAGAATAAAATACAGTGTGTACACCACTGAGAGAATTTTATGAATAAATTTCTTCTAAAATAGAAATGCTCACTCTATCCACTTATTGGCTGTAAGCCATGAGGCAAGTTGTCTGCCACTCTGAGGCTCAGTTTTTTCATTTGGACTTACTTGACATTAGGATGTCCCTTACGGATTGTAAAGATTAAATGAAACAGTGAATATAAACGAGCACACATCTTGCGTCCTGTATAAAAAATAGCTACTAAAAATATATTCTAGCTTCCTTTCTGAGTTCACACTTCTGTCCCACCCATTTAAATGAGAGTATACTGAGTTATTTATTTCTCTTTCCTATTATATCTCTTCCTAATGTCCCCCATGAAGTTTGGACTTCATTAACATGCAATCTAATCATGCTTTAATTTCTTGTAACTCTTTTCATATTGTTCACGGTGACTCAAATAAATTCTAAGCCCTTACTTCATTTTCTTTTTTAAAATTGGATTTATTACTGCCTGCTTTTTTATTCTAAAAATTACTCATCCTTAAGACAAATAAAAGTTACCACCAACATGAAGCTCTCCCTAACTTCCATGGCCAGAGTTAACACTGTAATTGTTCCTAATTCTTTACTCCTTCCCCGTAACAGAACCATATAACTATGTTCCCACTGAGTAAGCAGAGTATTTACCCCTAACCTCTTGATGCTGAGCTTGGCCTGTGACCTGCTTTGGCTGATGAAACGTTAGCAAATGTGATTGCAAGCACAGGCTGTAAATGTGCTTATGTGGTTTGACTTTGCTTCTTGTGTTCTCGCCATATAATATGAGAAGAGATGGTCCCAGTTAACCATTCATTGCCTTTGCAATACGGGTTCCAGAAAAAGAAATATAAGACAGGCCTGAACTGAAGCAGGGCACCCAGATGATCTATAGATATGAAAGCAAAAAATAAATATTTCTTACTAGAACCACTGAGGTTGAGGGGTGGTGTACAACACTTCTGCAGCAGGAACTTTACTGGTAAGAAACCTTTCTCCTCTATAACACACCTCTGCTGCTGTATCTGTCTGCTGTCAGTCTCTCCTACTTGACTGTGAGTCTCTGAATGTGAATAAATGAGTGAATGAATGGACCTAATCCAAATATACAGCATTTCTAGGAGATGCCTATCTCAATGCTTCCCTTTCTTTGTGATTACTTCCTTAGATCTCAAAGACTAACAGAAAAGTGGATTTAAGCCACATTCTGGGGCCAGTGGTTCCAATGAGGTCTTACACTGCCATCTGGTTCAATCATTTTTAAGTTTAAGGAGGGAAGGACAGGAAAACAACTGAATTTGTCCAGCAGGGGTAACTGGCAGGGCCACTGAAAGGGGAAATGTTGGTTTCCATACCTTCAAGTAGAACTATAAGCTAACAAGTGCTTCTATGTAAGAGCTTCTAAGGGTTAAAAGTTCTCCCTTAAAATAGGCTGTTAGGCAGAGAGTAATGTTCTCACTTCATAGACAAAGAATGAAGGGCTGGAACCCTTTCCTTCTAGTTGAATACCCGGGAGTACCCGATCAGATTAAAGGGGAACCCTCAGAAGGCAACCAAGAGTCTACGTTATCAGGTGCTCATCCAACTCCCAATATTTTGGATGACGTCTAACATGGGAGTTTGTCGAACATGTTATTTATTCATCTGTCAAAGATTTACTGAGAACCTATAACTCTTCTAAGCACTGGAAATGCAGCAATGAAAAAAAAAAACAGAAAAAACAACCTGCCTCTGTGGAGCTTTCCTGTGCCAGCAAGAGGAAGACAGTGCTTAAACCAAACAATAAATAAGAATAAAATAAATTTTAAAAATACTAAATAAATAAATTCTAGAGCATGTTGAAGACGATAAGGGCTACAGAAGAATACAAAGTAGGGAAGGCAGGAAGAGAGTAACATGGGACAAGCTGGAGTTTTAGAGAGTGGCTGGAGTAGGTCTCAGTGAGAAGGTGACATGTGGTAGAGGCTCCTGAGGTGGGAGGTGTCCGGCATATTCAAACAACAACGAGGAGGCCAGGACTGGTGCAGGTGTGTGCACCGGAAACAGGAAGAGAGGAGTCGGAAAGGGAACGGGCCAGGCTGTGTTGGCTTTGTAAAGACTGTGAGATTTCTGACTTTGTCTCTGAGATGGAGCATTGTTAAGGACGGACAGACCAAAAGAGAAAGGAATAAACATTCACTTGGTAGCACATATATTCCCAGACTTACAGATATCTTTTCATACGTGGAAACTTCACAAAGATACTGTAAGGTAGACTTCATTATCTGTGTTCATTTTAATGAGGTAAAGCGAGGCAGATGTTCACCACCAAATTTATGTGCAGTAGGACTGGCATTTTCCAGTGGCCAGAATAAGCCAACCTGATGTTGACATCTCATTTAATTTTCCCCGCCACACAGTGTCGTCAAACCAGCGAGCTAGAACAAAACTCTGTCTGCCCGTGAACCTCATTCTCTGCTTAAGCATAAACTTCTGGGAATGAATTTTGTCCTACAGAGCCTGTATTCTCAGCAGAGTTTTGCAGTAATCTCCAAGAGGAAGGGAGGGTAGGAGAGAATATACATATTATTCACTGACGTGTTCCCCAAAGCAGTCACTCCTAGAACAAGTGTAAGTTCTCTTTGGGTTCAACCCGCCACCTCCATCCTCTACATGCTGCTGGGTGATTTCTTTAAAATTCAAGACCAAGCCACAGTTACAGGTGCAAAATCTTTCACCAATTTCCCTTCCACCCACCGTGGGCTAAAGCTCAAAATTCTTAACACGGCCTGTAGGACTCCCCAGGAACTAGTATCTGCTTTCCTCTCTGAGCTCTTTTTCTTAGGCTCCAGTCATTCTGAACTTGTCCAGTACTTTTCTGTCTTTAGGCTTTTGCAAATGCTGCACCTTCCCCCTCAAATACCTTTTCCCAGGTAATACCACTTAGATCTCAAGTTATACATAGTGTGTCACTTACTGTCCACAGGTCTCCCCTAAGACCCCAGACCAGGTTAGCACCCCTCTTGGGTGCTCCATTATCACCTGACACCCCCGGCGCAGTACTCATCACCATCTAAAATCTCTGTCTACCCATGTTTGTCCCCTACCAGTTTATGAGAAAGGCTCTGAGTGCTTTGTATTCCCAGCACCTGCCACTGTGTCTTATATGTGTTAGGCACTCGAGGATTAACAGAAAAATACATAAATAAGTGAACAGAGGTGTAAGGGGATTGTGTTTCCACTTCCCCCTAAACATGAGTCTGGCTCTAGGGCCCATAACTGAAAACCCAGGTCAGTGTCACTCATTAGCTTCCAGCTCTAGGTCTTTCACATCACCTTCAGGAAGGCTGAATAAGTCACACGACTTCTCGGAGTCTCTGTTATCTCGTGTATATGAGGAATATATTCTCCTCCTTATGGACACTATTGTGAGGCTCTGGTGAGAATGCAGGATGCTGTTGAGGACAAATAAGGATAACGAGCTGCAGGAGGACAGCAGCACAAAAGGGAAATTTGATGGATCCAAATGTAGAGTGAGCTTCATTCTTATTTTCCATGTGTTGGCCCTGCCACACCACATCTATAAATGCTAATACTTTTCTTCTTACCCGTTGTCCAAAAGTTAAGCTAGAGAGAGAAACCAAGTTCCCAAACAGTTGGTGCTTGGCTTTGATCTCAGCAAAAAAGAGCTGGGTTTGCAGCCCTAATCGCGATCATCCTGCCTGACCAAACCCAGGTCAAAGCCCAATTCACAGCAGAATTTCTTTCCCAGAGGCTCTGCTGCAAGGGGGCCCAGAGAGCATTGTCTCCTTTCCCAAGTAGCTGTTCTTGCACCAAAGCCTACAAACCCCAAGAAGGGGAGGAAAACTTCGTACTGACTCTCACATGATGAGGATTTCCGAAGAGAAGCAAATTGTTCCAATAGTCCCAAGACATCAAGAATGAAGGCTTGAAAGAAAAATCTGGGCAGCAGAAGGCAAGCAGTAACAAATACGCTTGAGCTGGAGAGAATGATGCTGGACACCAAAAGCTCTGAGACGAAAGGCCCATCTCCAGTGCTAATGTTTACAAAACCGTCATGCTTAAAATCAAATGCTTCGTAAATACTCTAGATCGCAGCA